TCCATCACTACCTCTTCTCCTCAGGTGGCCACGACAAGGGTAAACCCCCCCGCGTCCAGCCAAGCCACCAAAACCCCTTCAAAATGACCCTCTCAACCAACTCTTGGTTCTCTTCAGAGAGCCAAGAAGTCCAAAAAAGGGACAGCCACGTCTCTAGTTGGAGCCTCTCAAAAGGCTTCAGTTATTGAAACTAGCCTTATCCCTGAGGCTTCTTCTGCTTACTCTCCTAGTTCTTCAGTGATCTCTCCCATCACTGTCGTATCAGTGGTACCTATGTCGTATTAGTGGTACCTACCCCAACCGCCTCACAAATCACTGAAGGTGTGAATATTAGCACCGCCACCGCTGATCATTCACGTCTCTTCTCGACCATTTTTTCTTCTCCTCCTTCCTTGGTCTTTAAACATGTCGATGATGTATCAGGGACTATCCTTCCTGATACTGAGATGCGCACCACTGGACTTGAGGTTGCTCCTCTCGATGCTCCTCAGCATACAGATGTCCATCCTCTCAAGGACATCTTTGCTCACGCTAGTGACAATCCTTTAGATGTCACTGATGGCCCCTTAGGTATTCCATCTTCCTATCCTTTCTTTTCTTCTAACCTTGAGCCTTCAGCTCACACTTCTTCTTTTGCAGGTCCTTCTTCGATGCATCAGTCTGATGCTCAGGAAGTGGAAGAGGAAGAAAGAGAGAAAGATGATGGAGGAGATGAAGATGTCGATGATGACTATGATATGGCATCAGACATCAAACTTCTCCTTCCAGCCGTTGATACCGTTCTCTGCAGGATCAACGAAGTCCACCAAGAGATGTCCCGCAAGTGTGATCTTGATGCGAACTTCCTTGCCATCCAAACGGACGTTCAAGAAGTTCAGAGTCGTCTCCCTACTCTCCAAGAAGCTGTTCAAGCCAACAACGATGCCATTGATGTTCTTCACAGCAGGGCTGACGATGCTCAGGCTATCGCTAATCAGCAGACTGGCCTTCTTCAACAGATCCTGGATGTTGTCTGTCAACCAGCTCCAGTGATCCCATCTTCTTTCTCTTCTAGTGATCGTGCCCAGCTCCATGAGACGCATGAGGCAATAACAACTCTAGCCAACGCTTTGCAAAGGCTAGATGAGATAATGGTTCTCCAGCGTCAGCGCTTGGACGAATTCTCTAGCCAAATCTCTCAAGTCTTAGCCAGAGAGGGGGAGATGAGGTCCAACACTGGTGAATCATCCGATGTTGTTCCTGCTCCTTCTCAGGCTGTTGGTCCAGTATCAGCTTCAGTTGTAGTTGAAGCTGAGGCTCTCAGAGCTGAAGCGATGACCACCAAAGATGCTTCAGCTGAGGATGTCGATGCCATCCCTAGGGATGATGCCCCTACCATCACTGCTGCTAGTGATGATGATGATGATGATGAAGATGAAGATGATGAACCTACCATTTCAGACCCCGAAAATGATCTAGATGGCGATGATGATGAAGATGACTTTACCATCAAGTACTAGAAGCCATCAACCATCACCAAGGGAGTTGCCCTCAGGGATTCCGTATCCCAGGGGGAGCAAAGGCAAGGTGAATCTACTCCATCAGGGAACCAGGACCCCAAGTCGAAAGGCAAGGCTGTTGCTGAAGAAGGAAAATTGAAGGTATTGTTCAATATCCCTCAACAACCTTTGTTTGAAGACTCTACCTCTCAGCTAGTGATTACTTCAAAATATCAACTTCATATTCCATCAACAACCTGCGGTCGACTGGAGCGGGTACCTGATCAACCCGTCTCTTGTGCTCCAACCGACCAGCAGATGTCTCAGCTGAAGGAGTCACTTGACCAGACTAGAGTAAAAATCCTTCTTCGTACATCTAGTGGTGGTGAGTTTGACTTCTTGTCTGAAGCTGAAAGACTCGAGGCATTAAGGGCTGAAGAAGAGCTAGAGCTTCAAAAGAAGCAGACTGAAGACAGCTTGAAGTTGGCCACGTCACTAGCTGCGAAGGTCCTCCCCAAGTAAAAGTCCAAGAAAATGGTGAACGATGTCCAAGCCCAGGCTAAACTTCTTTCTATTGCAGAAGCTGAGCATGAGAAGAACCTGAAGCTAGCGGAAAAGGACAAGCGATGGAGCGAAGCAAAGCTGAAAAAGAGAATCAGTCCCCGCCCGATTATCAGCGTCAACATGAGCGGATGTTCTAATGATGGTGGAACACTGGTCTCAATGTTCATCACCAGGGACAATCTTGATGTCGTTATCGAGTATCCTTCCTACCTTGGCCATTATGGTTACAGCAAATGGATAGAGATCAAACAAGCCATTCAACAATCCAAGTCGAGACACAAGATACTTATCGAGGACACCATCAGCGAGCTCATCAAAAGGATGTCCAAGCATGTCAAGGTCCCTGACAGACCATCTCTAAAGAAAGGTGGGAAGAAGAAACTCAAGCTCTCTGATCCTAATGATGGACCATTCCTAAGGAACGAACATGAAACAAGGTTCTCCTTTGATGAAGTCCTGAAGGGTCATCAGAGTACATACATTTCTATGTTGAATCTTGACTTGCCAGATAAGGGTCCCTATACACCCAACTTTGTGCATTTTAAACCTGAGTTAGGAGTTATATTCCTTGACTATGAATTGGAAGTCAGATTTCAGAGAATGTCAGAGCTACATCTATGTCCAATGGATCATCTGGTATACCTCTTGCTCTGGATAGATGATAGCATGTCTGGAAAAGTCGTAGATCTGAAGATACGAAGGGAATTCCTACGTCGAAGAAAACTTGGTGAAAWTGTACCTGGWTACATAGATCTAAGAGTTCTAGAATAGTTTCTCTTTGTAACAACAATCCACTTTTCCTTGTAACTTCTTGTACTATGTCTACTTTCAGTGATTGTACTTATAATCTGTAAGTACTAGACATGTACTGTAATACTTGTAATATTTCCAATGATTAATAAAATGAGTATTCCATGTACTTCACAGAAAAAGATCCTTGAAAAAAGTAATAGGGACACAAGTCTATGAGTTCCAGAGTTACTTTTTACATTCACTGACAATCTATAAGTCAGTGAATAAGCTTTCAATTTCAGTTTCCGTGCTTGTAATTTTCTTAGATATAACTTACGGAAAATTCTCAAGCTAAGACTGATTAACTGAAAAAGATCCCAAAATAGTAAAAAGGGACATGTACTTCATATGTAACTTTTCCTTACTATTATTTGAAAAGATAACTTTTTTTATGTTATTTTGTTATCATCAAATAGGGGGAGATTGTTGATCMTCTCTCTCAGTGATTTGATGATAATCCATTTTCACTTATGCATTGTCTTTATGTTTCTGTCTTTTCAGTTCCAGCGATCTTCACTGAGTATGTTCAGAGATCGGCTGAAGAACTTGTATTGTAAATTCATCAGAGACAACAATACTTCAAGAAGACAACACTAACACCAAAGAACCTTCAGCACACGTCGAAGACTGAAATTGAAGATTAGAGACTGGCAAGTACGTGATCTGAAGCGGTACTCAGTGATTACAAGTCTGTCTACATATGTATGAAGACTGCTCAAGCTTCAGCGAATGATGAAGAGACCTTCAGGTCATTCCAGCATTCAGTGATCAAAGCAAGCTTGCTTAGCACAATTGTTGTTGTCTTGTCCTTATGCACACAAAGGACAAACCCATACCCTTATGAAAGTTGGTACGGTACGGAGCCGACTAGTCGACTCTATTGTCCACCAACTTTAGGTAAGGATGTATGCTCATGAATAGTGTTTTTTGTACTATTCACTATAGCAAAGGACAAGTCTTCCTCTTAAGGCTTGACAAGTATTCTAACCCTACTATATTGCATTAAATGAACATTTAATGCATTGGGTATAAATAAAAGTGTTTCTTCTCCATGCAGAGTGCGCGCAACTCACTCTCTAACCCTAATTCTTACTTCAAGCATTTTCTAGCTTAAGTAAAGGATCTTCTCTACAGCAATTCGTTTCTTGTATTTGCTAAGACTTAGTGTATAACTAAAGATTGTTTAGATAGGTTTTTATTACCTTATCTTTCTGCAAACAATCTTGTAAAATCTGTATTGATCTTATTTATCAATATATATTTTAAATTTGAAAATATTGTGTTTGTATTCATCCTCTCTCCATTCTACCAACTGTTTTACTATTCTTGTAGACCCTCAAGGGACCAACAAAGAATACCGTCTCAATTCATCCTATTTCATCAGACTCTTTGGCCTTAAGAACGCTGGTTTACGAGGGTCCAGACGATGCAAACGCTTATTTAGACCTATCAACAGAAAGAGAAAGATAAAGAAGTTCTCAAGACAATGGAAATACAAAACAACAAATAATGCTAAAAAAATAACAATCTAAAGAATTATACAAAAACCATACAAACGGTGTTGGCACTAACAGATTCATAGACAAAACACAATCTCATCATTCATGCTTACACACAATCGTAATTTCGAAATGAGAGAACGAACCGAATAGCATCAGGGAAGAAAATAGTAGGTACCAACTATTCAAAAGCTAATCCAATATCTTTCCCAAAACTATCTCCAAAATGAAGAAAGTGGAGAGAGAAACCAAAAAATAATTTCTCAATTGAGATCATCAATAAGAAATTTTGAAAATAAATATTTAGAAAGCGAAATAATATTTTAAAAGATGAATGAAATTTTTTAATATTATAATTAATATTGGATTATTTAAAATATAGAATTTATTGAAGATGAATATAATTCATTTTTAAATCTCCATTTTAGAGAAATTTTAGGAATGATTAATATTTTTTTATAAAAAAACATATTTACTGAGAAAATAAAATAAAGAGTAATATATTTTTTAATTCTTTAAAATCAAAGAAAGTACGATGATGATAAATCATCGTGAAAAACACTCCTTTTGTAGGTGGACGTTGACTTTGTAAAGCTTAAGTTGGACTTATCTTTTTTTCAATTTAAAAAGCCCATTTCACGGCCCATTTCTGCAACTCACCTGTAAATCTACTTGTTTCTCTACTCTCTTCTTCTTCTTCTTCTTCTCCTTCTCCTTCTCCTTCTCCAATCGACTTTCATCTCCCCTCAATGGAACCCTAATGCCCTTCTTTCTCATCAAATTGATCAAAAACTCCTTAACGTTCTTCAATCCGTTGTTCAATTATTTGCCCATTTTTTCTTTGCTCTCCGTTCCCTGATCTAGATCGTCAACGGTGCAAAAGAACGTGGAGGACGAAGGGTCTGTTTCAAACTTGTTAAAGAAGTTTCAGGTTACGTTTTATGATTTTTCTTAATTTCAGTTTATTGTATCTGTGTGAGCATTGGTGATGTTCGCTATTTTTATGGCGATTTTTGTTTTGTTGAATTGAAAATGTGTTGATCTTTTTGTGGGTATATCGAGAAGATAAGCTTTAATTTGACTTTATTTTTGGGTAATCGTACAACTTGTATGTAGACACATCTTTTGTGGAAAATGTTTAGAAAATAATCAACGTTGACCTTGTTTCTGGCTAATCGTAATCTTATTAACATAGACAATAGTTATACTCGTAGCTTCAATTGCTTGTTTAGCTTTATGAAATTGAATGCCTCTTACTTAATTAGACGTTGTACCAACTAGTTTCCATTATTGAGATGAAAATTGGTTTGGATTTGGTTAGAAATTTATGTAGTCCCACCAAGAAAAGTTTAAATTTATATGAGAATTTTGTTTGATAGGTGTATTATAGCATTTTGAGTAAGATATTGGTTAAATTAAAGAATTTAGGTGGGAGAGCAACTCTGATGATCTTCCCCAAGTTGTCAATGATTAATGTTCTGTTTTCACTACAGAAGATGTGGTCCATCCTAACACACAATCTGAAAATTCTGGTGAAGAGTTGTCATACTTAATGACCATAATGTTTGGTTCTATTGGAACATCACATCCATTTTCAGATCTCTTGACCTTTTTCTATTATTGAGCACATATATAGATGTATATATGTATATATAGATGTATATATGTATATATACATGTATGTATGTATCTTTTTAGAGGGAGTCACACACATTCATGAGGGTCAGGACACCACATAACATGACCCTACAAGCCTTTAGGCTCAATAAATTGGGTTGGGTTTGGTTCCGTGAACCTTACAGTTTTTACATGTTGTAATCATGTCCACATAAGTGCAGTACAGTCCCATCATTGAATACCCACTCTTCTCCCCCAACCTCATATAGTCCAGTAACCCCGGTAAATACATTGAGTTCAACATTATTAACTACTATTGATAATATGGACCAGATAAAATGTTCTAAAAGCTATCTTATCCAGCTTCTTCTAGCAAAATGATGTTATTTTTGTAGGTCAATCTAAGGTAATGCTTGGTGGTTTATGGATTACATCTTTGTCTTCGTTTTTGGCATAAAACACACACGCACTCCTCTCCCTTTAAGCACACACATTCAGTCACTTGTCTCTTGTGAGACTTGAACCCTTTTACTTAGGAGCTAGGAGTTGGTGTTTTTGCTTAAAGGTATCCTGCTATTGGGTTCATATGTGTGATATGGTGGCCATCCTAAACGGATGGAAGCCATTTAGATGCAATACTATCCTCTAGTATATGTACAGTTTATAGCCTTAAAACAGCAATGATTACAGGAAACCACAATTGAACAAACATTTTACTTGGTTCTTTTTATTGACTCTTTTGTGATCTAATTGGTTTGTTCAATTATTCGCATAAAAGTATACATTCTTTAAATTATGGGTGTTGGGGCCGGCTTCCATGCACCTTGACTAATCCCATGGGTACCGGAAGTTAACATTTCAGACAAACCTCCGGTGGCCCTGAGGGGGCTCGTACCTGTGACCACCGGGGAGCAAACCCAAGGTTTTAACTAGTTGAGGTGCTATCTTGGCATCAGTTAGCCAGACTCGTGGTTTAAAATACTATGTCCAGCAAAGGTCGTGCTCTATAGCTTTTTCTTTTTCAAATTTCAGTTTTTGAGAATGAATGTATATGATGTTCTATTCGAACTGAAATAAACTGAGTGTGGTCAAAGTTTTTGTTAAGATTAATTTTGAATTGTTAAAGCGATTTATTAAATATAAAATTAAATGATGAACCATGTTTAGAGTTTCTTTTTCATTTATTTTTCTTTTCCTTTCTCCATTATGAGAGGTTTTACTTAACATATAAGCTCCTATAGCAGTCTCATTTTGATGATGGGCCTCCTGATGAAATTGTTGTTATGATATCTCACAAGTTGTATAAGTTCAATTGAATGAAATCTATTCACATGATCGAGTATTTATTTTGTTCCTTTCTAAACAACTTTGTTACCTTGGAACAATAAAATGAGACTACAACTTTCTTTATATTTCAGGTTTGGGGATAGAGGTGTCCAGCTAATTGGAGTGGCCCAGGGGAAGGAGCCGAGCAACGACAAGGGGAGACAAAAAAGAAGGTGCTTGGCTCCAACGAGTTAAATCAAATTGGTGAGAACCATCTTCTATTATTGCAGACGGTTGACACTTTTTTTCTTTCTTTCTTTCTTGTTTTTGGGGCACTATGGGTGTTTGGGACAGCTTGCACGAACCTAAAAGAATCCCATGGGAGTGGGACCCTAAAGATAACAACTAGGAAAATCTCTAGTGGGAGACTCGAAGTAGCGACCTATGGGGGTGGAGCCTTCATTTGACAGTTGTTCACTTGTTTCTCGGTTTCAACTCACAAGAAGTTGAGCCCTCAAGACACCTAGTTGTTTGTCTTGTTTTTGGATTCTTTTAGTCCCTGGGTATTTGTCTTTCTTTTATTGAACCCATCTGGTATTTTCTAATATCGTAAATGACACGAAATGGCTAAAAGCTCAACATAATGTGGGTATGAGTTGGAGCATAATTTATCTGGTTTTTGCAAAAGTTTGAGGACTTGTTAAGATACCTTGCTTTTTGCACTTTCTCTACTTGTCTTGCCTTTGAAGTTTTCCTTTTTCTTTTTTGCCATCTTATAAACAATTGTTGATTAGGTAAAGTTTGATGCTTCACAGGATTTGGGTTTATGGAACTTGCATTTTTAAGAAGCAATATATTGGTGAATATGGTTTCATAGCATTTAGAAATTTAGTAGAAAGTTAGGAGATGGCATTTTATTCCCAAGAGGATTCTGCTGATGATTACCTCTTTAAGATCGTTCTTATTGGCGACTCAGCTGTCGGAAAGTCGAACTTGCTTGCTAGATTCGCTAGAGACGAGTTTTACCCTAATTCAAAATCAACGATAGGAGTAGAATTTCAAACCCAAAAGATAGAAATTAAAGGGAAAGAAATTAAGGCCCAAATCTGGGATACGGCTGGTCAAGAACGTTTCAGAGCTGTTACATCTGCGTATTATAGAGGTGCGGTCGGAGCTCTTTTGGTCTACGATATTAGTAGACGTCAGACTTTTGATAGCATCGGCAGATGGCTCAACGAACTTCATAGTAAGTAAAAACGAATATTTTTTCTTACACCTATCTTATGTATTTTTGCATTGGTTCCTATTTAATTTAACAATGAATTGTTTTTCTTGATCAATGTAATAAAATTTATACCCATGTTGACTAGTAACCTGCTAATCTTGTAACATTTGATTTGATGATGTGGATGCCAAGTTTAATGTCCTCTTTGCTGTAACCCTTTTGTAAAGCTTTCATAAATGGTGTCCACATCATGAAATGTTCAAAGTTGGGCAGGTTATAATGGTCAAAATAGGTACAAAATAAGGGGAAAAAATGAAACTTTGTTAAATCTACGGAGTAAAAAAGTTCTCAGATGTAAATCAGATACTTAAATATTCGAGATGTCACATCTGAGGTACCAAAATGAAGGTCTTGAAAATACGTAACACAGAATAGGAATCTGAACAAAGTATGTTGCATTTTTCTGATCATTTCTTGAGCTGCAGCTCACTCGGATATGAATGTGGTTTCGATTCTCGTTGGCAACAAGTCGGACCTTAAAGACGGCAGGGAGGTTTCCACGGATGAAGGGAAGTCATTGGCTGAATCTGAGGGTTTATTTTTCATGGAAACTTCAGCTCTCGACTCCTCCAATGTAACTGCTGCTTTTGAGACAGTCGTTAAAGAGATTTACAACATTTTGAGCAGAAAAGTGATGCAATCTCAAGAGCTGAAGAAAGCCGAGCCATCGTTGTCGGGAGGCGGAAAAACCTTGCTCTTGGAAACGGACTCGAACCAAGAAAGCGAACCTAAAAAAGTGGGTTGTTGTTCATATTAAAATCTCCATTTCCAATCAAGTTTTTTGGTCATGTGGTTCGTTTTTACTGTATTAGATAATGTTCATATGATTGAGAAAAAGAAGGGAAAAAAAGGGGGTTTTTTGTGTCTCAAATGTGTTTCTGTTTTTGCAAGTGTTTGCGTTGAGCCAATCGATATTGTTTAAAGAAATGGAAAGATTCAAGTGGACACATTTTGATAGATTGTTTTCTGGTTGAATTTAGGTTGTGTTTGTTACGAAATTTGGTACTGGATCGTATTTTAGAGGGAAAAGTGGTGCAAAAACCATCGGTTTTTTAAATTCATATGATCGTTAAGTAAATTGTTAAATTCTTCAATCACTCGAATAAAATCAATAACCTGCATTTTGTCGATTAGAATAAACCTTAAATTTAACACTTTTATTGGATTATCGACCGATCCAATAAAGCCCTCCTCGATGCAATTATATAGATTCACATAACATATACAATTAGCAAAGTTAGTTTAGCAGGGAATTGTAAGTGAAAAAACGTGATAATGAGTTTGAGAAAACTCTTGTAGACGTTTAACATCATCAAATTGTTATAAAATGTTCACCAAACGATAACGTTAAATTCACAAATGAATTGCATGCACGAACATGAAGCCCCAAGTGAAAACCTTTCATATAAAGAAAGAAACAACGGTAATCTAAGAACAAACCTGAAATCAAAGCAACAAGTGTGGAACTAGGACTTAATCTATGGTTGTCGCGACAAGTAGTGTATAGAGATGGTCGTCGGCTGCAATGGACTCGTTATGGCGTCGGAGATGGGGAAAGAAGGAACGGCTAACAGCAGTCCTCATATGGTCGATTTCATCAAATTGGACGGGGGATAGCAATTTCGCACTACAACAAAATAAAGTTATGTACAAAGTGTTTAGGTATCCTAATAGAGTGTCTTATAAGATTTAAGTTTAAAGGACCAAAAAATAAAACGTCATATCTAAAATTGTTACAATAAATTTATACGACTCTTTTGGTCGTCATAAGTAGTTTTTTGGGACATTTTTAAAATAATGTCATATTAGTTATTTTATTTGACCATTTTAAGAAATGTCCTATAAATTCATTTTTTGTAGAACTCTTGTGTTTATATGACATTTTTTCAAATAATGTCATATAAAATAGCTAAAACGATACTTTATTTTTAAAACCAGTCCTAAAAAACTTAATATGATGTCCAAAATCATCCTATAAACTTATTGTAACACTTTTAGATATGATACTTCATTTTTTGGTTCGACAAACTTAGTCCTATAAGGTACTCTATTAGGACACTTAAACAATTTAGGCGTCCTATGAATTCAATTTTATTGTAGTGTCTGAATGGGGAAACCAATAAGAGGGAGGGTTTCTTTTAACTAATCAAAAACATTCGTTTTTGACTATTGACTTCATTGAAGTCGTTAAGTTTCAATTATAGAGGTAGACAACTGATAAGAATTGTGGGTGAGAGAAGACGACCCAAGTTGGGAAGGAGAGAAATTAGGACGGATTTGAAGGAAGGTAGACGAGGGTATGTGTATGGGAAGTGGGTGTTGCAAGTTATGAGCTTTGAGACTTGTACAATAAGCATGATACTTTTTGAAAATTCTAGTTTTTTTTTATTAACCTGGATATCCAACCTGCTATACGAGCCGACTAATCTCATGGTGACCACCTGCTTTGCTTTGCAGATAGCCCAGAGTCACCGCATTTGAACCTCTGTAGCCACAAGAGTAGTCGGGACTTGCAGATGGAAGCTTTAAAATATGTACATCAAGATTAATAGATAGTACATTTTAAAGTTTCAAGGTAACCGTAAGTGTCATTTTATAAAGGAGTATAGATAAATAAGAGTGTAAAATGAAAATAAAAAAGTACGAAATATAAAACAAATTAAATAAATAACTATAAGGTATAAAACATAAGTTTTAAAAAATTCACCACATATTTATGATATTTATTAATATGATTAAATTAAAAAAAAAATTGATATTATGCTCATTTTGAAGGTCTTAATGAAATGATTTATAATGGTATAATTTCTGAAAAAAGAAACATATTTTTAATATATTTTAGTACATATATGATTATTTATGTTAATATGATAAGAGTGTAAAATAAAAATTGAGAAAATAAATAAATAAATATAAGAATATAAATTGTAATTACTATATAAAAATGATTAGATTGAACTTGGTTCCAAATGTCAAAAGTATTATGAGGTCACAAGTTCAAATCCAAGGAGAAATAAAAATTCTTTAGTGGCCACGGAGGCTCAAATACGGTGACTCCGAACTATCTGCAAAACAAGTGGTTGCCCTGGAATTAGTCGGCTCGCATAGCGGGTTGGATATCCAGGTTAATCAAAAAAAGTATATGATCTTGGGATATGAGAGGTTTAATGGGAGGTTGTGTAACTTTAAACTTATACATTAAGCATCAAAATTTATATTTATTAATTTTCAACAATAATCATTTAGCATGCTTAATAACATAGTATAAATATTATAGTTTTGTTCTTACAATTGCTTTATTTATTATTATTTAGAGGTTGTTTACTTCTTAATAGTTCTATTAAGAGAGAACATTTGCATTGTTAAGTGATGAATATTGTTTGATAAAACAAAAGTGTCTCTTAATGATCCTAAAAGCCTCTGAATAATTTTGTATCTTAGACCTTTCTTAACAATTCAGCATCCTAATTTCATTCTGAACAATATGAAAAATAAAATGCAAAATAAAATGGTCGTCTTATTTAAAACCCCAATTATGACATCCCTTCTCTCCCACTTTACACCTCGGAACGAGCCGTTCTTATAGAGATAAATGTGCTTTGACATCTTCTTAACCCGAAATGGCTGGGGAGAGCAAAGGTTCCTTTTTTTTAGGGTACTTCCGGGAACAGATCTAGTGGAGACGGAGTGGGACCTATAGCTCAGAGGATTAGAGCACGTGACTACGAACCACGGCGTCGGGGGTTCGAATCCCTCCTCGCCCACAACCGGCCCAAAAGGGAAAGGATATTTTATTTTTTTTATACTATATCATAAGAGCCTTTTAATTATTCAATCATTTTACTCTCTTTCACATGCATTCTTTTGCTAATACATTTTAGAAAATAAAAACCTTTTGGAGAAAGCCTGTTTTCGATTTAAAATTCATGAGAGGATGTTAAGGTTGCGGCCTCTTTTCGTTATCTCAACTACTATTTCATATTAAAATACCATATACATCTTTGTAACGTTTTATTTTTTTTAATTATACAAATATTTTATTTATCTTTTTTATTTTCATTTTTTTATTTACTTATTAAATGTAAATCATCAATCATCAATATATTAAAGGAACAAATAAAAGAATGAGACGGTATAATGAGATTTTAGTATTCATCAAATCTTGAAATGTGTTTGAGTTTCATCATCCCACATTGGTTGAGAAAATGCCTGTTTAAAAGTAGAAAGTAAGGTGTCGTTTACCAAACGCTTACCCGGGTAAGCGCTTACTAAGTCACTTTACTTTACCCGGTAAGAGTGAATGCAAGAATTGAGAGTCTTACCCGGTAAATGAGAACGATGACTCTTACCATGGTTAGCGCTTACCGAGATAAATTGTTGTATACCATGCATTTTAGTGAATAGAATATTATTTGGTAAGCGATGTTGGTAAGTACTTATCGGTTAAGTGTTTAAGTAAATGGCCCCTAAATATAAGAATAAAAGGGTGGATGTTTTGTCAACTCATATGGTTTGGCCCAATATGGCCTACTCTCTATTTTTAAAAATAAATCTATTTATATAAAAATGAGTAAGATAATATTTTTTTGTTGACTAAATAGAGTTGACTTATTTTAGATTAAAAATTTACCATGAAAATTTGAGGTGTTCAAATATAATTGAGGTAGGTTTGTGAAAAGAGTAACCAAATGTTGATATATCTATATTTATACTATATTATAAAGTATTTGATAAAAACTCTTAAAAATTAATTTTTTATGCATGAAGTACTGTTTATTAATGTATATTACTTAAAATTCAATAATACAAGTAAATTGTGCGTAAGTACAACTTATTAAACTTTATTTTTGAATTCATGTAACTAACTGCAGATAAATATAATCAAATACAGAATAAACATCTCATTTTAAATATAAAAAATTAAAATATAATTAAGATAATTATTGAGTTTTAACAGAATATTTAATTATCATCCTTATAAAAATTATA